AAGCAGTGCTTGAGAGACAAAAATATTTGGACGATCCGGATTTACCAGTAGCCTCTGAACTAGGATCCTGAAACAGAACAAAAACAACTCGTTATAAAAATTATCATAAAGATCACAAAATCCTAAAGCTCAGTTCTAATTTTGGTCCAGCAAGAGTTATCACGTCTTGCCAATGTGAAAATTTTTTTATCAATTTTTTATCGTCGTGCCGCTTTTAGACTGTTTTTTCAAGTGATCAAGACATTGAAGATATTGGTAATACATATAAAATATGTTGACAAGTATATATATTAGAAAATAATCAGATGAACAGGAATGTTTCGGTCCATTAAATCGAATTTATTCCTATCTAGCAGCACAACTGAAAGTAAGCCACCGAAGGTCCTGTCACTGACCCGTAGTTGATGTAAGACAAGATGCTTTTCTGTTGTAAAGCCGTGAAAAATATGAATTAGAACAAATTTTGTGTCATTTGTACATTTAAAATATCGATGTATGATTGTGTCACTGCTACTTTCCATCGAACGCCCGAGCGGCAGTATCAAGAATCTGCAGTGTTGCTTCACTGGTGCGAAATTTCGTTACTGGAATAGTTTGAAATCCAGTGAACGATGTGTTGAGAAGAGTATCTTCCACAGCTAAGGGCTGATCACTGGTCACCTGTTGAATACCCTGGATCAAAGCAGTTGACCAGGGCAACGATGATGGCACTGATTTTACATGCACGTTATCCACGCGACTTCTGGAGGCCTGCAATTTTCAAATGAATGATGTCGTTGTCGTCGTAAGGTATTCTTTAAGAAATGCAACCAAGACCCATAGCTCCTCACATTAAGAATCCTGAAAACCGATCATCTACCTGCTTTTTTTGACTTCGCAATTTAAAAAGTAGCTAAATCTGTAAGCGAAAATTTCTAAGGGTATATTAAAGGGTATAGAATTCTAAGAGTGTAGAATTTTTTTACTTTTCCTTAATCTTCTAAGTTCGCTCGGAGTAATGGTGGATGTCGCGCCTAAAAATTCAAGCCAGCAAATATGTAATCGATTTCGTTTTTTTGCACTTGACGCAAGCCAAATTCACTTCTATATTGCATCTTTCCAGGGCTACGCAAAATATGGCTTATTTGCACACTAACCTATCACTGGTTTTGCATTTTCACCAAACGGCTTCTTTTGTCTTTAACGCATAAGCGTTATAACGTAAATTATAGCACATATACATGCATCTTAACTTAGATGTATATCTGTATAGAAGCACCATGGTACTTGCAGGCATATTTGCAAAATGCACTTACCAAGGTATCGATACTCACGCAGTGCAAGTTCGGCAGTATATTTATAATACTAAATATATACGAAAGCGGAGTCCAAACGGTCTTTCCAGGCATCGACAGTGAGTGCACAAGTGACCGAAGACTGCCGATTTGCACTAAACATACACAGCGATTTCTCGTATGAACTCTAAAAAATTTTACAATTTTAATTTTCTCTGGCGGATGCTTTTTTCAACAGTTTAGCGAACAATCGAAAAAAAACTGTTTTTCGGTCCTTCAGAACGTAATATCCCCTCCTAGGTGCATTTCAACAGCACTACGAGCGGCACTTTATCACACCGATTGTCCGATGAATTTGCTGATGATCACTTCAAA